AACATAAACAAATGGTCAATATGTTACCGTGACGTCAACTTTTGTCGGCTGCTTTGGCCGGCGCTGTCATAATCCGTAAACAACATTTTGGTTTCCTCAATATTTTCCGCCCAATACGATGCTCTCGCTGAATATTCCCAATATTCCATAGCCATTATGTGTGTATAAACAAAAACACGTCTGCAATTCCGAAAATGTGTGCCACACAAGCGCAGCTATTTTATTAAAATGTATAAATCAATTTGCATATCATTGTGTGGTATTAAACAAAGCGAAAACTGATATTATGGCTGATTTAAATTTGAATATACATCCAATACGAATAATACGTATACGTAGGAGGAAGCAGAACCGCAAGAGACAATATTCGAATCGCTTATAAAAATGTTTTAGCACTCGGTTCGTTTCTGTTCGTCGTTTGATATTTCCACCAGAGAGATGGAGGGCGAGAGACGCTGGTTGGAGGGTGGTGATGCTGTCCGGAATGATTCCATCCCTCTTAATTTATACCCCATCTTTAATTGCCCGTTAATTTGGTCGAGCTATTAATGATTTTGTGGGCGCGTTGTGCCCGTGATTGATTCATAAAGCGTGTCACCGAGCTGTGAATTGGAAATATGTGATCGAATTTGCTCCAATTATGAGTGGGGGCAATACGTGAAATATATTTAAATGATGAGAACCACTTAAGCGTACACTGAGGGAAATGGTTGTAGTGAGTTTATGATTTGAGTTTATATTTTGGTAAAGAAATAAAATCTTAATACCTTTATTTCAATTAGTTTTTATTAAAGATCAAGTGATACTAGGTTTATCTAAATATTTTCGAGTAAATATAATTAGTTTCCATTATTTAAATTTAATATTTAAAGTTGTACAGTAAGATTTAAATTAAAACTACAAGAAATTCAAGAATTTTCCTTATTCTATACAAAAAATCGATCTTCAACCGATAAAGAATGGTTAACTTTCTCTAAGTTTAAAAGTAAATTATTAATATATTGGTTAAACACTAATACTCTGTCAGCTTTAGCTTGAAAACCAAAAGGTAATTAAATTTTTTATTGAAAACTAAAAAAACAAGTCAAATATTTTACATAAAAACTCTAGTTGTAAAGTTTTTTAAAGAAATATTTCACACCCATTTATTTTTGTACATTCACTATATTATAATTTAATTAATAGTTAATTTTTAAAGCTGCAAATCCTCCTAAAAACTTATAACAAGTTTCCCACTTGCAGAGGAATCCGTTTATTGAGTAGTCGTCATTTAATTTGCCATAAATAAATACCAGTATCCAGTATCCAATAAACTGCGAAAAAAAAAATAATATAAAACAGCAGATGTTTTATTTAAAATTAAAATAAGCTAATTTAAGGCTCTTAATCGTCATTAAGCGTGTTTAGTTTTAATGAATGGTGACATCTTATTTGGGAACTGGTTTATCAGTTTATCAGCAGCCAAAAATCTTGTACATATTTCCCCTCTGATTTCGCTCAGTGTAGCCGCTTAAAAATAGTCATTGTTAAGCTTAGCAAACCACTACAAAATCGTATTGCTCTTCCCCCTCAGAAGGAGGAGGAGGAGGAGGAGGAGTGATCTTGGTATATGTAGATGGTCTGCTGGTCTGGTTTCTGGTGGCCAGCAGGCACAGTAAATGCGGCCAGGCCAGTGCCACAATGGTTTTACAGTGCTTTTCGTATTTTCACTTCACAAAAATAAGAAAGAAAAATATAAGAAAACAACAAAAATTAGAAGCACATTCTACGTTTTCTTTTGTTTATTTTCACCCGGTGGTTTGGTTTTATTTTCGAAAATGCTGCTGAAAACCATAAATTAGCTTGTTACTTTTGGAATGCCCCGACACAGTGGCGCAGTGTGTGGGTGTGTGCTGTGTGTGCTGCTGCTGGGCCTTCGGGATCTCGAGATACGCAGAAGTGGGGAACTGAATCAGTCGTTGGCGGAGATCGATCTGGTGAACAACTAGCACAGGATTTAACATGGAGAACATTGTAAGTGGAGCAGATGAGATCGTGATCTGAGGATTAGGATGGAGGGTTATTAAAAGATAGTGAAAAGAAATTATTAAATCTTGAAACGTATTAGTATATTCTTAAAAAATGTAATAATTTAAAGGTGGTGACCTCTTTTGTTTTGAAAATATCTCCAAAAGTTGGCCAAAGACTTCGTCACTAAACCATTTCCTCTTTGCTTCCAGGATGAGGACCTGACCCCCGAGCAGATTGCCGTTCTGCAGAAGGCATTCAACAGCTTCGATCACCAGAAGTGCGGCAGCATCTCCACCGAAATGGTGGCCGATATCCTGCGCCTCATGGGTCAGCCCTTCGACAGACAGATCCTCGAAGAGCTCATCAACGAGGTCGATGAGGACAGTAAGTGCTCTTAGATCGACCCTCTTTATTTAGACAGAAACTAATATAGATCTTTCCCGCCACAGAGTCCGGTCGCCTGGAGTTCGAGGAGTTCGTCCAGCTGGCTGCCAAGTTCATCGTTGAGGAGGATGACGAGGCCATGCAGAAGGAGCTGCGTGAGGCTTTCCGCCTGTACGACAAGCAGGGCAATGGCTACATTCCCACCTCTTGCCTTAAGGAAATCCTGAAGGAGCTGGACGATCAGCTGACCGAGCAGGAATTGGACATCATGATTGAGGAAATCGATTCTGACGGCTCCGGCACCGTGGACTTTGATGGTGAGTCCCGCTGAACGACCAATTAGCCGCCGTCACTTGGCCGATAAAATTTTAAATTCTCTGGCCAAATGCCAATGAGAGGAGGCATTTTCCATACATACATATACATATATATTTTTTTTGTTCCACACAAATTATATCAATTTGTTGAATCGCCTTAGTTCCCGCGTTGTGGGGAGCTACATAGCTGCCCTTGTAGACGCGTCTATTTTTGGAGCCTTAGATCTTTACACAGAGCGACAGAGAGACGTATCATTTTCCGGTAGATTTTAGAGGAGATTACAGTAGCTTAGGATTTGGAAGAAGTTTTTGTTTGTTTGTTACTTGATATGAAAGCGTTTGTAATAGTGGAAATTTTTAGAAATATTTTTAATGTTGAGTTAACTCTATTTTTGTTTGGATTTTTCCATTGGAAAGGAAAGGGTTAGGCTTTTATAATATATAATAGTATATATAGCCTGAGCTTATATTGTTAAATGCTTTTGATTAAATACTTTTTGAAATACTTTAAGTTCACTTTTATATTGACTTCATTGTGATATATGATAAGATAAATAGCAGATTAGTGTCTCTTTTAATACATTTCCTCACGCAACAAAGGCCTTCCTTAAAGAACTTCAAAAGTCCTATATTAATTTTCCCTATATTCTTGATAACTCAACTAATTACTCCACTTTTCCTTTTCCCTCTTGCAGAATTCATGGAGATGATGACTGGCGAGTAAGCCAAACCAACACATCGCATCATTGTTAATTGTCTACTACCCGCTATCCCGAGGCTTGAATAAACGTTTTGTATTTGATTTGTACGATTGGGTATTGAGTAATCATAATTACGCTATAAATAATCCGCTGGTGCAGGAACTACGAGGTTAGAAAAACCCAAAGCGCGGCAAACATTCTACGCGATGCATCTCTGCATCCGAGTTGAGTCATTTTAATTGAGGCTCTCAGTCTTTGAGATTATTATTTTTCGATGCTTATGCAATGTTAGGCTGGGAGTGGGCGTGTCCCCCTGCTCATTTGTGTGTTAATTTGGCAAGGCCACGGGGCGTATGAGTGATGCATGTTGCGCATACGCAACGTGGACTTTCAGTTAAGATTTGTTTGTTTGTTTTTCTATTTGTTCTTTTTCAATGAGATTTTTTACATTTCTGTTTGATGGCTGGAAATGCAAGTGCGTGCAAATTCCTTTTGCCACTTGGCTGGCGTTCTGGTCCGCGCAGCTGTGCTGCTGCCGCCGCCTCGTCGATGATGTCCATCCCATAGAGAATGCTATAGCGAAACTGCAAACTGAGAGACTGTGTGTGTCTTGCCTTTCCAAACTGGCAAATGTCAGTGAGCATTCTCCTTGTTTTTTGGCTGAAAAGATGTCAAGCATTTTCGCTAAACTTGGCCCCCGAAACATGCAACTGCCCTTTCTGCAAAAGTTTAACTCAAACGAAATATGTATGTGGGTAGCTGGCGAAGGGGCTGTGGTGGCAGATGGATGTTTTGCCGCCAAGTGGAGCAACTTGTTTTGCGCAATGCCCAGAGGGTGTCGATATTAAGTGGTATTTATTACCAGTTTTCCACTCAATCGTTAGGTGAAAGGTCACCTGGACTGGACCTGGGCCTCGGCCCTGTGAAAGAGCTGCCACGAAATCCCATCAGCCCGGATTTATGGACATCCGTCTGGGGCTAGACTGCATTTCTATATGCGATTCTTAGCGCCAAGCCAGCTGGTTTCCCAAATGTGCCATTCAATGGAGATGAATCTGCTGCTGCTGCAGCAACAGCTGAATGATGCGCTCGAGCGTTGAGCGTTTCGATTGGATTTCAATTTACGAGCAGCAAGCGGCGGCAACTTGCTAATTTTTACCAACTCGGGAGAGATGTGGCTGAGAGCGTTTGTTTAACGAGACAAGGTACATTGGGTAAACGAGATGCCGCCGGTGTCGATGCCGATGCCGTCGTCGTTGAGACAATGGGGCGAACCTATGCAGCTCCTCCTCCTCCTCCTACTCCTCGCTTGTTCTTCTCCTCCTCCCTTTTGCCTGGCAATTGTTTTTGCCCCAACACAGCTGCACACGATTCGCAATAAATGCCATAAAGTATCAAAATCTCAGCACTCGCTCAGCAGCGCCAAGCTCGGAGCTGCAAGCTCCGGCTTCGGATTCGGCCAGAGCTAGAGGTTGAGGCAGAGCTAGAGCTAGAGCTCATTCCATTCCATTTGATTGCATTTGGCGCCGAATCCAAGTATAAAAGCTGGAGAACCCAGGCTGCGATCGGCACAATAGTATCGTGACAATCGAGGAGCCACATCATACGCGGTGGCACAACAGAGTTCCTTCCCAGCAAGGACTTGCGTGGTTTCGTTCGTTTTCGTTTTGTTTTGTGTCAAGGATTTGTGGCAAGGATTCTTCTGCAACAAAAACATTCGGAATATTAAAGCAAAAGGGTTACAGAGATGGCTCCTAAGTGGGTGAGTTCAGTGATTACAGGAAAATCTAGTAAAAAGTATCAGATCTAGGTAGGTTTTTGAAGGGTTTTTTTGCTTGAAATTTCAAGTGTTTATAAGAAATATTTAATTTTTACAATTACAATTAATATTTTCTGTTATTTTGATTGCAAGAATCAATTATAAATCTCTTGAAAAGGATGTTATGCAGCTTTAATTTCCAAGATCCGAAAATATTTAAAAGAGAAAGCGTCCCTTAAATGTTTTAAAAGAATTTGTTAACCTGGCACCTTGTAAATTAACTTTTAAAGTGTAATTTTAAAATAATGTAGTAATTCATTTCTTCTTTTAAATATTATTCTATTATTATTTCCTTTTTTTTTGACAGAAGTTAAATATTTAATTAACTAAATTATAGATTTAATATATAATTAACTACAGTAAAATCAAAATATATTTTAATGACTTTGTATTATAATTTCATTCAGAAGCTAGTAACGCAGTGAAGGGGTCATTTCCGACCCCATAAATCATATATATTCTTGATCAGGATTAGTAGGCGAATCAAACTGGACATGTTGGAAAGAAAAAAATATTTTTCAATTTTTTCAAAATTTTTTAAGGGGTTACATCGTTAAAATTGTCAAAAATTTACAAAAATTTTAATTTTCTAAACTTTAAAATGTAGTATGCATATTTTTTAACCTAATAAAAACTAGCACAGAACTGTTTTCCGATTCAAGATTAAGGCTTTTTTGGCTTATTTATGATAGATTCAAATTTGTTACCCTAAACCATTTACAAACTTGAAGGATATTCATATTTGGTGTGCATAAGTTAGCTTCCTTTCTTGTTTAATATTCAAGTGGAAATATAAGACCCTTTAGAGAAACTGTGTAACATAAATCACCCTAAAAATGCTAATTAAAAAATGAATTCTACTTCAAATTTAATTTGACCAAAAACCAAGAAATATTAATTTAAACAATTTTTAAAGAGATTAATTTATAGCAATAAATCACTACCTGTCCCAAGCTAAACTTAGTACTCAACCAATTCATTAGAGATCGCGATAAATTAATTGACTTGCCGCAGGGAGTGTGTTGAGCCCATCAAAGGAAGGATTTCCCCATCGCACTTAGCATATCCGATTGTCTTGGAAAAGATCAACTAACGCATAAATTAAAAGGCCATTGGCAATCCCAGATGGAGGAGGAGGAGGAGGAGGAGACGTTAGAGATGGCTGCTGGCACGCAAAGTTGCCCAAGTATCGGTCGTGTCCGTACCGCCTCCAAAGCAGATCATCGCCTTTGTAAATGGAAATGGAAATGGAAGCAGTCTTGGCAGTGGGGCGACCCAATTGGCAGCCCATTTGCAATTACCGCAATTATATTTTAGCAGTTGCGAAATACTGTCGAAGATGTCTGCGCTCCGGTCACGAAATCCCCAAAGAGTCTGTAGGGGCAGGCGTTGGTTGCATGTGGCATCATACTTCATACTCGATGCCTCGGAGATGAGTCAGTGTGGTGGCAAATGTCAGAATTTTCATTATTTCGGAGAATTGCATTATTCAGGTGCGCGACAATCGAGCGCGACAAGTGAGCTCATCATCAGTCGATGGAGCCGTTAAGGGGAGTCCGTAAACGGTTTAAACTTCAACTTGACACTCGCTGGTCGCTGGAGACGGAGCTGCCCCAGCTTCCAGCCAATCCGATACGTTTACTTAACCTTCCCAGTCAGCCTAAGCAGTCTCTTGCGATTGTTCACACGCTGCATGCTGCTGTTACATCTTCTTCTCCGGTTGCTCGAAGCGGCAGACATCTTCTGTCTAACAAGAAGTCCATAAATATCAGAGTTCGTCGTTGTCGATGAGGAGCTTGATATAGTCATTCGATAGTCTAGGTATTAGCTGCCTTAATGGGCCATTTGCAACAATGGAAAATGGAAAACGTGAGCGGTTGCGATGTCAATGGGCGCGATTCATTGATGAAATGAAATGGCCGACATTTTGGCCACACTCTTGACCCCGTTCGAGGTCGTATCCTCTCTAGCTTCTTGCAATGCATTCCATTCTCCCCATAGATGAGGTTTTTCTGCTAAGTAAGGTGTTATTTAATTTGCTGGCAGTTAAAAGTGATTTTTACATGGCGTAACTTGAACAAATTACATTTTTTAAGCCCATAAAATCAACTAGGAACGAGGTCTAGGACTTGACGAGTATTTACAACATCTTAAAGACTTTTCCTATTTAAACTTTAAGTATTAAAGTTAATAATAATAATAATAACTCAATAATCTTCTTAGTTTCCTAGAATACAGACTTTAAACTATAAAAATCCCACAGAATAATCAAGCATATTTTAATTATCATTCATGAATGAGTAGTTTCCATTCATTAAAGTTTTATGGTTTCCATAAATAATGGCCCATAAATTTTATTAAATTGGTTGTTGATTTTTGTATAGGCTCTTAAGATATATCCTATATTTGAAAGATACTATAACCAATATATATTACACAATTACTTCTACACATTGCACATTAATCTTGGTTGAAGTGTTCCTCCAGGCCAAGTTGAAAGCGTGCATCGCGATGAACTTTCCACTTACCATGCATAAATTTGTTGCCTTACCCATCTTCTTGATCTTCTCCAGGCTCTGCTGATCACGACGCTGGCGCTGACGCAGGCCGCGAAGCTGGATAACAAATACCTGCCGCCACCTGCCAGTGCGGCCAGTGCGGGTGGCAGTCCAGGTGCGGGACTGCAGGGGCCAGGAGGTGGCTTCGGTGGAGGCTTTGGCGGCGGTGCTGGCGGCGGAGCGAGAGGAGGCGGCTTCGGCGGCGGACCAGGTGGCGGAGCGGGAGGAGGAGGCTACGGCGGCGGGGGAGGCGGCGGTGCAGGCGGCGGGGCAGGTGGAGCTGGAGGAGGTGGCTTCGGCGGCGGCAATAACGGCTTGGGTGGCTTTGCCAACGGTCGACCCATTGCTCCTGGTGGCAGCGCCGCCGGACCAGGCCCTGTTCCCTTTCCCCGACCTAGTGCTCCAACTGGTGGACCTCCCGCCGGCGGACCACCAATTCCCATCCTGTCGTTCGTGAACGAGAACGATGGTGATGGTAACTACCGCTTCAGCTACGAGACTGGCAATGGAATCAAGGCCCAGGAGGAGGGCACCGTGAAAAACAAGGGTTCGGAGAACGAGATACCTTCTGTGATGGGTTCCTATTCCTATACGAATCCCGAGGGCGAGCTCGTTGAGATCATGTACACGGCGGATGAGAATGGCTTTGTCCCTTCTGGCTCTGCTCTTCCAACTCCTCCACCCATTCCGGAGGCAATAGCCAAGTCGCTGGCGGCCCAGGGCATTAACATTCTGCCAGGAGGTGGCTTCAGTGGCGGTCATGGTGAGTGGTTACTTCAGAAGATTTATTAATTTTGAATTAATCAATAATTAATCTCCATTACAGGATCTCCTGGAGGACCTGGTGGACCAGGAGGCTTTGGTGGCGGAGGAGGTGGCGGAGGATCAGGATACGGAGGCGGTGGCGGTGGAGGACGAGGGGGCGGTCCTGGAGGCCCAGGTAAGTAATTGTGCTCGTTTCCTTGACCTTAAAAATATTGATTATTGGTTTGTTTGTATCAAAGGTGGCCCAGGTGGTCCGGGAGGCTTTGGTGGCGGCGGAAGCGGCGGAGGAGCTGGATACGGAGGCGGTGGCGGTGGAGGACGAGGCGGCGGGCCAGGAGGTCCAGGTGGTCCAGGTGATTAATAGTGCTTGCTTTCATATTTTTTTAAATATTGATTTTTTATTTGTTTGTAACACAGGATCTCCAGGAGGACATGGTGGACCAGGAGGCTTTGGAGGTGGCGGAGGAGCTGGATACGGAGGTGGCGGAGGACGAGGCGGCGGTCCAGGAGGCCCAGGTAAGTAATAGTGTTCGTTTCCTTGACCTTAAAAATATTGATTATTGATTTGATTGTATCAAAGGTGGCCCAGGTGGACCGGGAGGCTTTGGTGGCGGCGGAAGCGGCGGAGGAGCTGGATACGGAGGTGGCGGAGGACGAGGCGGCGGGCCAGGAGGTCCAGGTGGTCCTGGTTAGTGCTAATATTCTTGACCTTAAGAACATTAATTATGATTAATTTTCTTTACAGGATCGCCAGGTGGGCCAGGAGGCTTTGGAGGCGGCGCAGGAGGCGGAGCAGGAGGAGGAGCCGGCGGTGGGGGTGGATATGGTGGCGGTGCCGGACGTGGCGGAGCACCAGGCGGACCAGGTGGACCCGGTAAGCTTCAAATATTTCTATAATTCCTTATTCCTCTTAAAATAATTATTAATTATTATGATACAAAATAATATATTTATTATAACAGTTTCTCAAGTTTAAATTGCCGGCTAAAGATCAAAGCAATGTGATCTTTATGGGAAGATTGTGTGGGAAGATTGTATGAAGATCTAGCTGCACATGCTCCTGGGTTACTCCCACGCTTTTCAAGTTTGTTTAACATATTATTGTCGTATGGGTAGCCACATTGTCTGGCCATCTTCCCACGATCTACTAAATATATTCCATAAATTATAAATTGTAACGGAAAGCCGTTACCCTAAAGCCCATTAACAAATCCAAAATGTTTTTATAGACTTTACTAATTAAGCCCTTGCATAAATTTTTTACAGGATCGCCTGGAGGTCCGGGGGGACCAGGTGGCCCAGGAGGATTTGGTGGCGGCGGAGGAGCAGGCGGTTCAGGCGGTTACGGTGGCGGCGCAGGACGAGGCGGCGCGCCAGGTGGTCCGGGAGGACCGGGAGGTCCCGGCGGTGCAGGGCGTCCCGGATTCCCTGGTGGCAATCAGTACGTTCCTCCCCCAGCTGGTGGAGCTCCAGGCGGTCCAGGTGGACCGGGAGGCTTTGGTGGCCCCGGTAGAGGCGGTGCTCCTGGAGGTCCCGGAAGCCCAGGAGGTCCGGGAGGCCCAGGCGGTCCGGGTGGCTATGGTGCGGGAGGCGGGGCTGGCGGTGCAGGAGGCGGGGCCGGCGGTGCAGGAGGATACGGCGCAGGTGGCGGCGCAGGCCGAGGCGGGGCGCCAGGTGGTCCCGGAGGTCCAGGTGGCCCAGGAGGCTTTGGTGGTGCCGGAGCAGGAGGTGCTGGCGGATACGGTGGCGGCGCAGGACGAGGAGGCGCCCCAGGTGCTCCTGGAGGTCCGGGAGGCCCAGGAGGATTTGGCGGGGCAGGAGGTGCTGGCGGATATGGTGGCGGTGCAGGGCGAGGAGGCGCGCCAGGAGGTCCAGGAGGCCCGGGAGGTCCTGGTAAGTCTATCATAAATAAAGTTCATTTTTTGCTGTCATATTTTTAATCCTTTTTATTTGTTTAGGCTCTCCAGGAAGGCCAGGAGGACCCGGAGCACCTGGTGCACCAGGAGCACCAGGATCACCTGGATCGCAGTACATTCCACCAGCGCCAGGAGCACCGGGTGCTGGCCGCGGCAACGGTGAATTCAACCCTCAGACAGGCTATAGCTACTAATCCCAGACGCGAGTCCTAGGAAGCCAACTTCAAATCTCTCGGATCGATGAAATCTCAGAGCAATGCAAGCTGCCCAAAAAATGCTCTTTCTTTTCCCAAAAAAAAAAAACTGGTTAACTTATTTATGTAAGCTTCCCTCCTTTTGTTCTACGACAATGTGTGAGCGTTCTTCTATCGAAATAAACGAATTTTGAATACAAACCACAAAATAGATAGTGTACCTTTTGCATTTGACTAGAAAAACTTTTAATTTATTAACTAATATTAAATATTGTAAATAAAAATATGAATTCTTTTGTTTTGTAAACATAAAAATGTGATAAAAAGACAAAAAATTACTGATTTGTGACAAAGGATCAACTCAGATGGCGAGAATACAAACACGCTTTCCATGAATATTTCTAAAACTAATGAGATTAGTATTCATCAAGAAAGGAAGCTAACTTCGACACGCCGAAGTTTGTATACCCTTGCAAATTGCAATTGAATCACTAAGAATCGAGCCATTCTGGTTAAATAATTGAAATTATTCGAATTGAATTTCATGCATTTTTGACTGAGTTGTGAACCTTTGAAAATTAGTTTCTTGCTCATTTTTGTTAAACAATTATTTAAAAATTACAGGTAAGTATTAAAGCAAAACTAAGTAGGCAGTTTTGTTAAGCTTAGAATAACCAACTTAGAACAACTTTCCGAAATGAATTTCATGCATTTTTGACTGAGTTATGAACCTTTAAAAATTAGTTATTTTCCCCAAAAATAAATCGCACCATTTTTGCAAAAATATGTAAGGGGTACCGTCATTAAAATTCAAAAAAATTGAGAAAAAATGAAATTGAAAAGAACCCTAAACGTAGTATGCAGTTTTGTTAGGCTTAGAAAAGGCAACTCAGAACAGCTTTCCGAATTGAATTTCATGCACTTTTGGCTGAGTTATGAACCTGAAATTAGTTTTTTTTTAATTTAATTGCAGCAAGCTGCCAGGAACTGAAAGCGGGTGCCGAAGGCGAGACAGAGAACGTTGACAAGGAGGATCAGGACGAGGAGGAGCAGAAGTGGACCAAGTGCCACCAAGACCGAGTCGAAACCACTGGGAACGACCTCCGACATTCCCACATGCCTCACCTTTTCTTCTTTTATTTATTTAAAGCTGAAATAAATAATATACCTTAAAAAATGTGTTATTTTTGAGATATGAGGAGGATGCGGTTTTTTTGGGTGGGATAATTTAAACAGGCTCAATGGAAGGGCATTCTTGCGGTGGAATATGAAAGAAACATCAAAGCAAAATAGATAGATGAGCATCACTGATGCAAAGTCAATTTCAGTGTGCCCAGGTGCATTTAAGCAACATTTTAGCCAAACAATTTACAATATGGTCACATCTGGTTTGAGTCTTCGCTTACTCAAAGATCAATGGTTCAAAACTTGGACTTTTTATAACAGTTTATACCAGTTTTAAGTTGCTTGCTGCTGGTTTCTGTTCGCCTGTTACCCCAATTTGAAAAGCAGGCAAATTGCATGGAAATTTTCGGAAATTTGGATGGTCTGCTGTAGGGATGTTGTTGTAAAAAGGTTGTTGTTGCCATAAGCTGTTGTTGTCGGCAACAAATAGGTATAAATGCATAAAATGAAATATAACAGTGTATACCAATTATTATTTTTGCCCAAAAGTTTTTATAACAGTTTATACCAGTTTTCAGTTGCTTGCTGCTGGTTTCTGTTCGCCTGTTACCCCAGTTTGAAAAGCGGCCAAATCGAATGAAAAAATTTGCTCACTTGCATCAGTGATGCTCATCTATATATTTTGTCCCAATAAAGATATATAGCCAGATGAGCATCACTGCCATTAAGCCCGATTTTATAGCCTCCCAATATTGCAATATAGCTAGATAAGCATCACTGATGGAGATGAGCATCACTGATGGAGATGAGCATCACTGATGCAAATGATCTTGGAGTAAGCGAAGACTCAAACCAGATGTGACCATATTGTAAATTTTTTGGCTAAAATGTTGCTTAAATGCACCTGGGCACACTAAAAATGACTTTGCATCAGTGATGCTCATCTATCTATTTTGTCCCAATAAAGATATATAGCTAGATGAGCATCACTGCCATTAAGCCTGATATATTGCCTCCCAATATTGCAAAATAGCTACATGAGCATCACTGATGCAAAATCTGATTTTATAGCCTCCCAATATTGCAATATAGCCAGATGAGCATCACTGCCATTAAGCCCGATTTTATAGCCTCCCAATATTGCAATATAGCTAGATGAGCATCACTGATGGAGATGAGCATCACTGATGCAAATGAGCAAATTTTTCATTCGATTTGGCCGCTTTCCAAACTGGGGTAACAGGCGAACAGAAACCAGCAGCAAGCAACTGAAAACTGGTATAAACTGTTATAAAAACGTTTGGGCGAAAATAATATTTGGTATAAACTGTTATATTTCATTTTATGCATTTATACCTATTTGTTGCCGACAACAACAGCTTATGGCAGCAACAACCTTTTTACAACAACATCCCTGCAGCAGACCATCCAAATTTCCGAACATTTCCATGCAATTTGCCTGCTTCTCAAATTGGGGTAACAGGCGAACAGAAACCAGCAGCAAGCAACTGAAAACTGGTATAAACTGTTATAAAAAGTCCAAGTTTCGAACCTTATGGGAGCAAGCGAAAGTCAGCGGAGACTCAAACCTGGCTTCTTTCCCAAAATACAACTCTGTGTTGTCTGCTCTCTTCTTTTCTGGACACTTGCTATCCCCCTCTCAGCTGCCTGCCCAGAGTTGCATTTTGGGAAAACAGCCGTTACTTTCGCTTGCTCCTAAATGGTTCGAAACTTGGACTTTTCTAACAGTTTTCAGTTGCTTACTGCTGGTTTCTGTTCGCCTGGTACCCCAATTTGAGAAACGGCCAAATTGCATAGAAATTGTCGAAAATTTCGATGAGCTGCTGAAATTATTTTTAATTTCTCTAGCTTCAGTTGCGACTTAAATTATTATTTATTTCCCCCGTTAATTGAAAATTATAATAATTGAGAAAATAAAAAGTATTTAATTTAAATATTTATTTATTTATTTAATTGATAATTGGTATAAACTATATAACTGGTATAAACATTTATATTTTATTTTATGCATTTATACCCTTTTACCGCCGGCACAGCCATTTGATTGCAACAACAACCCCATTACAACAACCTCCCTACAGCAGCCATCCAAATTTTCGAAAATTTCCATGCAATTTGCCTGCTTCTCAAATTGGGGTAACAGGCGAACAGAAACCAGCAGCAAGCAACTGAAAACTGGTATAAACTGTTATAAAAAGTCCAAGTTTTGAACCTTATGGGAGCAAGCGAAAGTCAGCGGAGACTCAAACCTGGCTTCTTTCCCAAAATACAACTCTGTGTTGTCTGCTCTCTTCTTTTCTGGACACTTGCTATCCCTCTCTGAGCTGCCTGCCCAGAGTTGCATTTTGGGAAAACAGCCGTTACTTTCGCTTGTTCCTAAATGGTTCGAAACTTGGACTTTTTATAACAGTTTTCAGTTGCTTGCTGCTGCTTTCTGTTCGCCTGGTACCCCAATTTGAGAAACGTCCAAATTGCATAGAAATTGTTGAAAATTTGAATGGTAAAAAATTAGATGATCAAAAATATATTTAAATTATAGGGTGGGAAAGGTCTCTTTCACTGCGTTGCAAACTTCTGACTGAAATTATAATACCCTGCAAGGGTATAAAAAAATGAATTCTTTTGTTTTGTAAACATAAAAATGTGATAAAGACAAAAGAATACTGATTTGTGACAAAGGATCAACTCAGATGGCGAGAATACAAACACGATTTCCATGAACACATAATTTACATACATAATGAGATTAGTATTCAAATATTGACTAGAGGGCTTTAAAAAATATGCTATAGCTTAAGTAAATCGTAAATCGTTGTAAAGGTTTCCTCCATATAAATGCCATTAATACTATGAATTGCTCCACAAGATTGACTAGTCCTCCTTTGGCAAGGCAGCAGCATTGGGTTCCCAGTTCACGCCATCGTGCGGCAAATCGCTGCGAACGAAGGGCGACAGCCAGGTGAGATGCATCCTCTTGCCGAGCACCATCTCCAGATTGCCTCTCAGGCCGCGATCATACTTCCTGGTGCCACGCTCTATGGTCACAGACCCATTCCTGATGATTGACCAGTGGAAGATGAGCAGCAGGGATGATATGCCAAAGGCCAACAGGGTAAGATCATAGATGACCACGTAGAAGCTCTCCCAGCTGGGGTAAAGCATCACACTAACCATGGGAGCGAATACATTAAACAGCGTGGACCAGCGCCAGTAAATGTCCAGATGGAGGTGCCATAGGTAAATGCTCTGCGTGATGGCCGCCACAAAGGATCCGATAATCATGTACACCAAGTAGAAGAAGAAGTACCGGTAGTTGTGGTGCCCGATGCAACAGCAGGTGAATCGGCAATGGTGATCCCGCTTCAGTACGCACACGTTGCACACCTCACAGTGCCAGGAGCGGGGCGGCACTAGCGTCTGACAATCGTGGCACATGTGCCACCGGGCCAGCTTACCGGGCTCCACCGGTGGCTTTAGTAGCTCCACTGCAAGTCCATAGATATTTCAAAGTTAAGGACAGTCTAGGAATAGTCTTATACTCACTCCTTATGCTGGTGTCCACTAGCATGCAGGCCAGCATGTTGGACGTCAGGTTGAAGATGAGGAACACACTGACCACCCAGAGGACTGTGTAGCAGACGCCACCGATGACAAACAGTTCCGGCAGGACGATGACGATTTGGAATATGTATGTCACCGGCACAAACACAGCCACCAGCAAAAAGGCAGCAAAATCCGACAAGGAACGTGGCTTTACCCGGTCCCAGGAGCGCAAAATCATTTTTATACCGTTATTTGTTGCTATTGTTTTATTTGACTGTTAAAATTTGTTCTTTTATCGTTTTAGTGCGCCCAGATTCCATGGAGAAAGGAAAAGGAAAACCCTCCGGTCACACAATCCAGATTTTTTTTCTGTACCAAACAGTGATGAGCATGAACAAGCTACAATCTGAGAAAAAAATAAGCTAAATATGAATGAATAAAAAATAACTACATTTAAATACATAAAAGTAAACGTACAACCTTTATTATTTTTTTATGTGCAGAACTTGTTCAAGTTTGGCATTGAACCACGAAAAGGACAATTATTAAAATAAGCTATATTTAGGGATATGCCTTTCCATAGCCTGAAAACAGCCATACTGACAACACTGCCCAATCTGCAGTTAAACTCTGGTCACACTTCCGTTATGTTTGTGAAATTTGAAACGTTTTTTGCTGACAAAGTTCTATTTTCATGAACCACGATTCAGCATGGAGCAAACTATTAAAATGGAAGTGAAAATCGAGAAGGCGGAGCCCCGGGACGAGAACGATCCTACGCCTCTGCGCGAGAGGCTTGAGGAATCTCCACGTGCCAGTGGCCTTGAGCCCGACACTTCTGTGTCGAATTGCAGGTGGGACAGCGATCTAGAGGAAGATGTACAACACTCGGCGCGCCCACCCACTCCAGGAGCCAGCCTGCAGGCGACCATTCAACCCAAGGATGACTTTAAGATGGATCCCGATCATGTGATGCTGGATGATCTTCTCAATGATTTACCCAATACTCCTCCCCCTTCTTATAGTCCCCCTTCTTCTTCTGCTTCTTGTCCTACAACTGTACCCCCCTTTAATCCCGTCCTGGATGGCCTTCCGAGCGCTTATACGGCCCGCGAAAACCTAGAGGATATGGATTTGTGCAGCCGTGGAGACGAAGACAGCGATGCCGAGCTCATAGCCGAGAAGATGGAGATCCTCCGAAAGTTGGCCATGGTGAATGAGAGTGATCAGGGGGGAAGTGGAGAACAAAAGAAGAAGAAGAAGAGTGGGAAGAGGAAGCGCTCCCATCACTCGAGCAAAGAGAAGGAGGAAGAGGCTGAAAGTAAGAAGCGGCCGAGGAGCAACAGTTCGCCGGATGAAAGCCAGAAGGAGAACAAGCGGAACCAGAGCCACCACTGGCCCGGACGTCGCATTAAGGCCGAAAAACCAGATCTTGATTATGTTCCAGTGCGAGATGACGAGAAGCGCCTGCGCGTGGTCAAGACCTCTAATCTCCTGGAGAGTGCCCCGAAGCCCCCAAAGATGTTTCCAAAGATGGAAAATCTTTCAAAACAGGACAAACGAAACCTGGGCGTGGCACGGGCCCAACTGGCGCTGGAACTGTTTCAGAAGAATGCCAATAAAGATGATGAACGCGAGGTCCTAATGGTGGAAACCATGTGCAAGCTGCCGGTTCATGATTCCTTTCGGAACCAAAATGGCTTTGAGAATCCCTCGCCCCTTTGCAACAACATGAACGTGGTGTACGAGTTCAACTCGGCCCCCGGAACGCGCATCGAACTGTCCAAATGGGGCCTGGAAGTTTTACCTCGGCCGATCCGAGAACTGTGCCGCATCCTGGGCATAGATATACATCGTTTAAAGGAGATCCAGAAAACGGCAACGCCGTCGCAACACATACTCAAGCTGAAGAAGGAGCAAATGGAGCTGGGAGTGGGCTCTGAAGAGGCGGAAGCGGATAAGGCGACGCTCTTCAAGAATGCTGACACTCAAACGGATCACAAGACCTTCACCCAAGATGCTGGAACCCAGGCGCGCCTGGAGGCCCCACCGATGGACTCTACCTTCTGGCAGAAACGCTCCTTCAACCCAACCGACTTGTCTCAGCAGCAGTCAAATGTAATGTACGCCCTGCAGGAGATCGCCAGGGCGATTCCAGATGACTCCATTGCCGAGACACTTTACAGGAGACTGGGTCCAGCCCTGGCCATCGTTCGCCATACCATTCGCTAATGAATCTAATTTTGATTTCATTTACACATCGTATTTCGTACTCTCTCTCAGTTTATTTATAAATATATTGCCAAAAAATCACTATAAATATCCAATAGCTTTAAGGACCAACCAGGAGTGCCTTATAATTTGATCTTGGCTTGAAATACCTCTTAGTTTCTCGAATATATTCATAAATCTCTTGCAACGCAAATGCCAAAGTGGCGTTCAAGGCCACAAAACTTATGACCAAACGAATTTCTAGATGTATAACTGCCATTCTCACTTATTCTTTGTACAATTAATAAATACACATACATTTATAACAAGTAATAGAACGTTTTGTGTGTGTGTGTGTCTTTTGCTAGAGTATAAGTACTTAGGGGCAACCCCCCAAAAGGCGGTTTCAGAGTTGCAACATAAACGACTTAAATCCGCCCAGGACAAAATTCAAGCGTCATAAACTCGCTGAACTTGTGCGAGTTCATGTCCCCCTTCTCTAGTTATTGGCTAAATTGCACTAAAAACTAATTCGTAACTATAAGCGTAGGCTAGTAGAGAAGATTGTATCATTTGCGCACTGTAAACACGAACGGGGCCGACTCCTCCTCCTCCTGCTGCTCCAGCAATGTGGTTCTTATCGTGGTCCTGTGCTCCTGAGCCTCGACATCGTCGTAGTCCACCGAGGAGGAGCGCAGCAGCTGGAACTGTGAGTTGGAATCGTTTCGGGTGATGATCAGCGAAGCGGGTCGAGGTCCTGCCGAGATATAAGGATTTTATAAGTAATTAAAACCCTAAGCATTATGTTTCTCAGACTTTACCTGGTGGCGGCTTAGTTGTCAAGCGCTTGACTCCACCCTGGAGTACCTCCGGCTGCTGGCGCTCGGATACATATTCCACATTTGGTGTCAGCTTGTTATTATTATTATTACTGCTCGCCGTTTGTTGGATCGATACCCGCTTGTCGGCCTTGACGCTGCCCTGCTGCTTCAATATGGAATCGCGACCCAAGGGCGGCGGCGGCTGCATGGAACCTGAGGAGCTGACGCCCAGCAATGGTGTTGTCATTGCAGACCCCATGGCACTAGGCGTGTCGAGTTCTAAAAATCATACGGATTGATGGGGGATATTTAGTTAAGGATCTCTGGGAGGGAAAAGATGACAAAGCCCGCCGCCCAAAACGAGGCCCGGAAATGTAGGGAAACCAGGTGGGAATATAAAGCAGCCATTTAACTTGGAACATAAGTGGTTAAAGACAAACACACAGCAAAGACAACATAAGTATTAAGATGCTACTATGTCGTTACGCATCTTATATTTTATGTTTTCTTTGCACACACAGATAGTAAGAAAGCTGAATAAAATGCAAGTGGAGACGAGTTGTTCATAAGATTTATCATTTATTTGATGCTTCATCATCATCTCTCGCTGGGGGGATAGTAGACATAATTGGTTTAGTGGAGGGTAGGATTAAAGGTTGATTAGTTGTTCATGTTTCGTGGTGGGTTTCACAATTTTAAATGTTGCAAATAATTAATAATAATAGTCTTGGGTAACAATTGGAATGATTTTTAGTAGTAATTGCACAACTCAAATATTAGTTTTCTTGATATTGGTAAAGCCAAAAGCCAAAGCAAAAAGTTAACAAAGTGAAGATGATAGTAGAGCTGGAAATAAAATCGATTTTATAATCAATTAATAGATTTTTCTTTATTATATATTTTCAGAATCGGATTATCGAATTTACTATAAAAATCAATGTTATATAAACGCTGAAGAACATAGAAAAACTCATATTTAAATACAAATATGGTGAACTGAAATCGATTTTTTTTCCAGCTCTAATGATATGGTTTGGTTTGTGGGTTCCCTTTGGTCCTTGGGTCGGGTTTGTCAGACTATAAAATATATATTTGTATTGTACTAAGTAAAGTTAATACTTAAGCGCGGCTTGATTCGTTTTCTTTTTTTTTTTTGCAATTCTCATGGGTAAATCACAGATCACCCCGAAAATTCCTCTCACAGCTTGGTGTCATCGTAGCTCTGTTCGCCGGAGATATTGGGTATGACCACCACCAGGGGCAGGGGCAGGCTGCTAGCTGTCTCGCTCAGCAGCTCGCTACTTATTGATATCTGGCGCGATGCCCGATGATTATGATGATAACCACTGCCGCCGACACCATTATAACCAAACACCGAATCAACATGCATTAGGTCGAGAGTGCTCCCGCTAAAATCGTGATCATGATCGTGATCGTTACCATTGCCCAGGTGCTGACCGCCACCACTGCCCCCCACCAGAGTGCTCAGACTCTGCAGGGAATGCGAGCTGGCACTTCGATTGTATTCCGCATGCAAGTACTTGTTGTTATTGTTGTTGTTGTTGTTGGTGCTGCCGCTGCTGACCCCATACTGCTTGAGGTCATCGGAGGGTGATCCGAACTCGGATGACTCGCGTATGGGTGCTAATTGCAGTTGTGCGGCTGCCGCCAACATCTCACCTGTGGGACTTGGTCGTTCACTGCTATTGGCCACATCCTCGTATGCCTCCTCGTTCAGGGTCTGCAAAGTGCCACAGATCATTTGCTCCTCCAGGGTTACCTAAGGATAAAGAGGGGAAAGAAGAAAGGAGCATGGTTAGAGGGTGTGAAGTAAATGAAAATCCTATTTGTAGTGGTTTTGCAGTCTGCTGAGTGCGTCTCTTGCTGAGCTGAGCTCTTTACCTGCAGGTATTCGTAGTCATGAACTTTTGACTGCATTTATTTTTAGGAATGATCGGAATAAGAATAGATCAAAAAGCACATGAGTTAGAGCAGAGAGTTATCAAGAACCTTCCTGAATCAATATTAACCCATCTTACCTGCTTCTCCATATGACTAACAGAGTTCTTTCGCGACAGCGACTCCCGCGGTGGCTGCATCAGGGCATCTGTCACATCCTTGATCATTGGCACACTCGTTGGCGGCGCCTCCAAGGCGGCAGTCTGCTGCTGTGGCTGCTGCTGGCGCTGCTTCCTAGGCAGGCGCTCGCATTCACGCAAAGTGGTGATCAGTAGACGGAACAGCTCCCAGTGGCCAAAGCTTAGGCCGAGAACCTAAGAGGGAAGAAAGCAATTAATTTGGGAAAATGAAACCTCAAAGTTGATAAGAATTACTTACCGATTTGAGATCCGGCATATCACAGTGCTTGAGGACACGTCCATTGATCGCATTCTCGCGCAGCACGGGCGCCAACTTGGCCAAGGCGGGCTTCATGTCCTCTATACGCTCCAGCAGACTGATGACACCCTCGGTGGTGAGGTCAGTAAGCTTGGTCTGCAGAATGTCGTCCTATAATAAATTATAACATTAAAACATTCCTTTTAATTTAAAAATAGTCAGAAAAACCTACACCAAACGAATCACTGGGCGAGGTAATCAAAGGCGTGACTGGTTCAGTGCTTGTGCTGAGATTCCTGGAGCGCAGCTCGTTGTTGACCGAAGGATACTCGTTGTGGAACATCTGGTAAGGCGGATAAGCCTGCGGCGAAGGCACATAGGTGGTGGGCGCTGGATATTGACGCGTATTGTTGGACACACTGGGTCTGGTTTGCAGCACCAGAGAACCCTCATCCTCGATGGTTTGCTGGTCCTCTATAAAATGTTTCAACTTTATAAAGAGAGCTTAATAGTTATTTTAAAAATACTCACCCTTCAAGACCTTTCTCAAATAAGGATCCAAGTTGATGGTAAAGGGCAGAAAGATGCGTAGATCCGCCACCAGAAGATCTGATTTGTGCAGCTGCAGGAAGGCATCCAGCTTACGCTCATCACGATCCAGCTCCAAGAGCGGAGCAGCTTCCCTCAAATAGGCGAGTTTGGGACGCAGTCTAGAGAGATAATAGGGATAAATATATGGAATTTATATCTTCTATGCACTACTCACTTCTCATAAACACTCTGCAAAGAGACACTCTCATCCGCATTGCTGTCCATAAACTGATCATGATGCAGGACTATCATACTGGCCCTCAGAGGCCACTGTTCCGTCAAATTGATCCAGGAACTAAGGCGATACCAACTAAAGTCTATCTGGAAAGCCTTGAGCAGGCGCACAGTGATGTAAATCACATTCATCAGCCGGCGCATGCTCCTCGGATTCACATCGCTGAAGTAGTCATCCGTTAAAACAATCCTCGAGAGATCCAGCACAGTCTGGGGATTCTGGCCCAGGCGATGCAGATTCGAGCCCGTGGAGCTGGCCACCGACTCGGAGAGACGCAGTTTCTTGCCACCACCTCCACGACCCTGACCACGCAGCTTCTCCTGACTGGAGATGATCTCCGAGGCGTTGGACAGCCGTCGGGCAGATACTGAGTGACCCAGAGTGGGTCCATCGTCCGTCTGGTAGTCGCCGCCGCCACTTCGCTTGAACAGCAAGGCGGTCATTTGAGCACGTTGCACTTTCCTGAGTCCAGAGTTCTGCAGGTAAACCGGCAGATGTACCAAATTCCTTAGGAAGTCGTGGCCTCCAATTCCACCCTCCGTAAACAGCCGCCGACTATTGGCCTCGGCTGCCTTGGCAATGACATGGGGATCCACCGAGATGAGCAGCACAAAAGGACGATTTGGCGAGGAGAGCAAAGTCTGGACAGCATTGAGCAGGGTGAGGATCCTCTCGGTGTCACACGAGTCCAAGGCATCAATCACGCCCACCAGACGACTCTGCTGATTGGTAAAGGCATCCAGACACTTGACCATGTCCGTCATCACGGCCACCTCGGCGCCCAGCATGGTCAGGGGAGCAGTCTCACTCGAGCGAACCGCTCGCTTTAGCAGGCGGATGTGCGAGGTGAACAGGGAGACGCAGACCTTGGCCAGGACATGGAGATGCGTGCAGATGAGCGTGCCCAGCACGGCGGCTATCACATAGAGCACCACCAGGATGTCCTCCCTCTCCTCCTTGCTGGCAAACGTGAAATATGCCACGATCAAGGAGATGCCAGTGACCAGGGTAACCAAAGCCAGTTCAAAGATCAACAC